CTCCGTGCACCAGTAGGGAATGGTATGGTGGCTTTGGTTCTGAGTAGATGCAGTGATCTAGCTTCCATGCAGCTTCTTCAGATATGGTCAGTATTGACAAGGATTGGCCTAAGTTGTAGAAGATTGTGGCAGTGGTGCTGGCGGCAGTGCAAGTTGCCAGGGTTCTTCGTAACAAGTGCTTTTGGAAGTCTCTCATTCTAATTTTTTTTTAAATGTATTTTACATTCATTCACTGAACATCATCAAAATATACAAAATATACAAAATATAGAATACACTGTTTATTGGCTTAATCATACATACTAGTTAATGAATAATTTTCCATTTCTTGTTTCTTATATATTTTTTTCTTTTTATTCCCTATTTCTCACTCTCTGCCATTTCCCACCCTTTGTCTACATTGTGTCTGGTATCTACAGCTGCTTTCCATTCCTTTCCCCCACACACATTTTATTGATTCAGAAAATATCTTAATCTAAATATTTTCGATAAAAGTTCAGCTGATATATATACATCTGTGAACACATCTGACTTTAGGCATGAAACTGAGTAGTGTGAATATATGATAAAGGAGCACCTAGCTGAGGCTATATAGCTTATGGTAGTCCTTAAATAGGTAGTTTTTAATATTTTTTTTTAATTTCAAGTAAAGCAGTTTTAATTTTAATAAGCCAAAATCAAGAAATCTTAAGAAAAATTTGCTTAAGACTTAAAGCCAGGAAACAGCTTAGGATTTTGTTCAAATAGTAGGTACATGAACCTATGGACAGCTCAAGAGAAGATAAAAATTCTTAAATATGGAAAACAAGCATAGAAGAAAATAAGTAATGTTCTAGTCAAAAATCATAAAATTCTATTTCACCAGTTCAGTCTTATGTAATTAATCTCTCTCCTGTTGTGGTCCAATCTTTCCATTTAAATCCTGGAAGATAACAATTCTGGACTTGTTCCTACTATTAAGTTGGTCATTTTCTTGGTTGTTTTTGAACTCTTATTTCTTGTGTCTGAATTTAGTTTTCCTGGTATAGCACTCCATTCAGAACTTCTTAGAGAGCCAGTCTGGTGTTGGTAAATTCTTTTAGGTTTTGTTTATCTTAGAATGTTTTGTCTTTTCTTCCCATATGAAAGATAATCTTGTCAGGTATAGTATTCTTGGTTGAAATTAATTTTTACTTAACACTTTGAATATATTTTCCATTCTTTCCTTGCTTGTTTTATTTCCAACAAGAGGTTTGCTGTTAGCCTGATGGGATATCCTTTGTAAGTAACTTGACGTTTCTCTCTTGCCAATTTTAGTATCTTGTCTTTGTGGTTTTGGTCAATCTGGCTATAATATGTCTTGGAGAAGATCTTCTTGGGTTGATTCTATTTGGGGTTCTGTCTTAGGTCTGGATCTTTGAATGTTTCTCTAGGTTTGAAAGTTTTCTTGTAGGGTTTCATGGAATAGATTATCAATGTCCTTATTAGTCTCTTCACCTTCTGGGATACCAATTATCTGGATATTTGGACATTTAATGGTATCTAGTATGTCTTGTATATTATTCTAATGGGGGGAGGCTATTTTCTCAGTCTTTCTGGTGAACTTTGCTAGGGCAGAGATTCTGTCTTCTACATCTGAGATTTGATCTTCTTCATTATATAATCTGGTTTTAATATTTTCAAGGAAGGTTTTGATTTCCTGTATTACAGTCTTCATCTCTAATAGTTCTGTTTGATTCTTTTTTTTATGATGTGTATTTCCTCTTTCAGATAGTGCAAGAACTTCCTCACCTCCCAAACTTTTCAGTTCTTTTCTCCTGCATCTTCTGGAGTTCATTGTCTCTCTTCTCTTGTATCTCTGTTAGCTTTGTTACTATGAATATTCTAAATTCTTTATCTGACATTTCTACGATTTCCATTGTACTGTCTGTGGATGAAAAAAAAAATTTTAATTTTTTATTAAAAAAAGGCAAAAAATGAAAACCACACAGTGTGCCAGGAATAGTTCACAGCTCAAATGCAGGAGTCTTGTCAGATGGCCTGCAGTTTTGCCTCCTAAATGGGAGGGGGGAAAGGTGATATTAGCAAGATAAAGGAGGACCTAAGTGCCAAGAAAATACCTTAAAGAATAAAATTAAAACAATTATTTTTTAATTTAAAGAGAAGGATACAGAAGGTGCCCTATCACTCTCTAGATTGAGGTCTGGAGGGTGAAGTCTCAGCAGAAAATCTTTAGTATACTTATTCCCTGAAAATAATAGTTCACAGCTCAAGTGCCCTACTTTTTTTTTTTTTAAGAGATTTTTTACTATAGGGCACATGTGGTCGCTAGAGAAACAGAGGCAGAAAGCAAGAAATTGCCCCCTAGGGGGAATGGCCACACTGCAATCCCTTTTCCTCTATTCTCCTCTTGGGATCTTGGGCATGCACACACATGTGTCCAGTGTGAGTTTTAGGTCACTGGGCCCAGGACTCAAACCTGGTTGACCATATGGGAGTCCAGGGAAGTAACCATTACGCATCTGCTCGTCCAAACAGGATGGGGAGTCTTAGCTGAGAGGATCTTTTTTGGTGTTGGGTTTTTCACATCCATAGGCAGTTGCAGTGGCACTGGATTCCTGGGCACAGGTCTTTAGAACAACTGCAGAGCTGAACTCCTTGGCTCAGGGTCTTACAAACCTGGGTGTGCAGGTAAATATTTATTCGCCAACAAAATACTGAATACATATTGCCCACAGAGCACATTCTGACTCCAAGGTCCCCTCTAGCAGGTCAGGCCCAGAGGGACAGGTTGTGGCTGTAACTCTGACTCTGGGAGCAAGGAATAATACTAGTGGGATAAAGAGGTGCTCTGGAGGTTAGGGCTCCAAGAGCAGGTAAAGTCACAGTTTAATGGCAACTCAGCCTCTAGTGGGGATGGGATACTGTGTAGACATGAATTCCAGAGCCTGGGATAGTGGGATATGGCAGTATCTCATACTCTGTGAGGCCAGGTGCATTGGCAGCAGGGATGCTGGGATGGTGAAATGCAGCTGTTGTTGGGCCCTGGGAGGGAAA